ACTCTACACCCTCACAGAGAGATTTTAGATAGGGGGCCTCAATACTTGGACTATGTTCTGCCTCATTCAAGGGCTTATCATGCTCCAACTCACCTACAGGATCAAGGTTTGGGGTACAAAAATGCAGATACGGGAAGCCTAGACAGCCCTAAACAACATCATGAGGAGAGCCTTCAGGCTGGAATTAAAAACCCCCCTGGCTGCGCTGTCCACAGAGCTGGGCATCCCCCCCCTTGACCTGAACATCAAGTACAGACACAACCTCCTCACCCTTAGGGCCGAAGGGATGGACAGGTCAACAAGTTGGATACTTCAATGGCTTAGGGAGTCAGGAGCACATGACACTATCCAAACAGCATACTGGCAGGAACTGGGGAAAAAGGTTCTAAAACGGTGCCTCTTGGAGGAATGGAGTGACAGAGTAGAAAACTCTAAGATTCGGTAAAAGGGCAAACTGAGGGCCAGATCCAAGCACCTATGAGGGATCATGAGGCAGGAATTTAGAGACCTGCTCTTCCTTCAAGCCACCTCCGGGTGACCATACCAAGAAGCCGATGGCAAACGAAGGCTCTGCCCCTGTGGGAGGAACATCATAATACCAGAACACCTCACGAATCTTTGCAGGGTAGTGAAGCCCACGACGGTCCCACTCCACTCTGACAAAAAGCAACAGGAACTCCTGAACTGGATGGCAGAGTGGCCAGCGGCCCTCAGAGATAGACCAATGACCAGACAGCCAAGCACTCTTGGGAGGACACAAGTAGCAGGGGCAGCAGTTAACCTCCCCACGTCCCAACCAGAAAAGGGTCCCTGTTGGGGCAAAAAACGCTCTATGAAGCTATGTGCAATATGTAGTGCACTTACCCAGAGGGACCAAGTACACCAGGAAGCCCACTCCTGCACCCATGATCTGTATAGGAAGAAGAGCAAGGGGAGGCAAGGGGACAATAGAGAAGCAGAGGGCCCAGGAGGCGGGGGGAGCAATGCCCGTCCAACTAGCAGTATTTCCTAGAGTACATAACTGCCGGGCCAGTCGAGCAGGGGTGGGTTTCCTAGAGTCTTGTAGGATTTTACTTGTTCACGACCATTGGACTGCGTGCAGGAATGGGTTTCATTGGGTTGAGGGATTTTCTTTTGTCTACGACTATTGGACTGGGAGCAGGAATGGGTTTTATTGTGTTTATGGGGGGTTTCATTTATTTATAACTATTGGGCTAGAGTGGGAATGGGTTTCTTTGGGTCGGGGGATCTCCTTGGTTAAATGAATATGGGATAGGTGCAAGGTAGGGTGGAGGAAAATTTCTTTCGACAGAGGGGGTCCAGGCCCAGAGGGGGTGACCCGGGACGCAGTAGAGTACACTTGGGTGAAACGCTTTGGTGGCTGTAGTTTAGAATAGAAACAGGTTGACATACACACATATCAAGGACGAGAAAGAAAGGGAAATATGGTATATTGAAGTGGGAATTTTGCTTCCAGACCAGACTTACTGCCAAGAACCTGACACTGCACCTTTTTCCCCAGTGTATCTAGTTTTTTTCCAACTTTACCTACTCCACTCCTGCTTTCTAAATACTCATCCCTTAGGTGGGTCAGCCAATTTGAGGCTCCTTGCTTAAGGCTTCCAAACACCTGAAAAACAAGATACTGGTCAGAAGACCACCTTGTGATCCATCATGGTCCACTCTCCCACTAAGCCTTCCTCCCTTTGGGGAGCCTAGGAACTTTCTCTGCAGTTCCTTCAGCCTCCTCTTGCCCAGATCCCCAATTGGAGTCACTCTTGACTCAGTTATTCCTACTTTCACTTAGACCATCTACCCCCCAAACTGTCCCAATGCCATGATCAACATGAGAGGCAGGATTGTTGCCCCTGGAAGCACCTCCCCCAGAGTATGTAAGGAGCTCAGGTACCTTAATACCTACTATGTAAATATAGCCAACCCCCCCTACTAGACCAATAGCTTTTAATGCCCTGTCCCCACACCCTGAGTTCAGCCTGAGGACCATTTGGGCCAGTCTTCAGAAATAAAACCAGGGATGAAATCGATATGGAAGTGCTGGCCCACCTTACCACAGCTGCATCCTTCTACCACCCCTTGGATAACAGCCCAACTTCAACCTCTGAAATGCTTCCAGCATCCTCTTCCCTGGTTCTTAAGGACCTTGAGATGTTCTAAGCCTCAACCCAGAAGATCCAGACCACCAATACTTGTGACAGCCCCATGGGGCTAGGTGTCACAGCCATCAAATTTTCTTCACTCTAGATGTGCATTTCGTACCTGAAGGATCTCCAGCAGTTCTCAGGATCTGTATTCTTGAAGGAATAGGTGTGGTAAGATGGAACATTGGTTAACCATATGCAACCAGAGGAATCAATGCGTGGCGACTCTACATAGCAAAAGAATAATATCTGTGCATGGTCAGATATAGCGGTGGACTTCCCTTAGTATTTTGGAATGTAGATGAAAGATGTACATTATAGATCGGAGGATTTCCTATGGTTATGCTAGATGTTGAGCTCGGTGTCACAAACTGTGACTAAGCAAGGCATATTTTACATAGCTCACAATTCCGAGCTATAGGTATATTGGGATTTCACATGACGCATACTAGTGCCTCATAGGTTATTATGTTTATCTGTTCGTGACTTACAGTTGTGAGTCACACGATGTTATAATTTTTACATATGACTCATACTTATGAGTCATGGGTTTCACTCAAGTGATGTGAGTTGCGCACCTGACTTGGTTATTATGTTTTGATTGGTTTTAGGTACATTGTGCAGTGACTCATAGGAGTCAGCTGATGGATTTCGCATGACTCATAGTTATTAGTCACAAGGTTTATGTGACACATAAGTATAAGTCATGCCAGGTGAAGAGCTACTATATAAAGGGTCACTAGGACTCCTAGTATTAGCTCTTCATACGTTCTTCTTGTTTATTTCCTACCTTTAAGTTTTTACAATAAAAAACCTACCTTTACACTCTTTAAGATTTATCTTAAGAAACCCAAGAATTGTCTTTCCTCTCACGCAAGAAAACTATTTCTCCTCCCACATTGAACAACTAAGTCCTAAGTAAGGACTTAAGAAGAATAGAGGAATAGGCGTGATAAGATAGAAGTCAAAGAACTTGACTATCGATATCATGTAGGTATAAGGCCTGAGAACTATTGCCTCGCACAAAGTAAGTATCGTTACCTGTTGCCTTACTCACCCACCTGGCAGGATTCTTAACACATGAAGTGCAAAAGAATGATTAGCAATAAAGTTTCTATAGCAACACTCAAGAACTGTTGAGCTGTCAAAGACCATTGAGCTGTCCGGCACTCTCTTGAGAGTACCCATGGTTGCTCACCAGGAAGCACATGTGGGTTATGGTGCAGCCACAACCTTGGCACGAGTAACTCCTTTATATGGCCTGCATAACCTACAGTAATAGGACAAAAGGGATCGTCTGATGGCCTTTTTACACCAAAAGTGCCCATCTTCACCACCCTCTCTCATCATACAATGTCTATGAGAACCTGTGCAAATTTGTCCATGCATTAGTAAACCTGTAGATAACATGAAAAACACCACAGAATTCTTAAATATTATAAAATGATGGAGAAAAGGTCATTTAAGTTTCTGGTATTGGTTGCCATGTCCATTTTTGTATGGAGCCCCATACAAAAATTTACATCCCTTTCATGCTGGTTGATGCAATCATGAACAATGAAGACAGCTTTGATTCCTTACACTTCTACTTGTAGAGGTTGGAATAGATGGTCATTCCCTAGTTGATGAAATGATTTGAAGTGCTTTCATATAAGCAGCATTGAGAATTGTCCATCTAAAAATGTCCGCTTTTGGTGTAAAAAGGGCATCGGACGATCCCTTTTGTCCCCGTACTGTATAATACCTATTGCCATGGGTAGAGCACGTCACAACGCTCCCTATTTTTACCGTAGTCCTGATTAAGTACCGGCACCATCACGACATGGAATGTTTCTCCGCGTGATATACCATGATATAGCTAAGGTTACTATCCAAGCTTGATAAATCCCAATCGGTATTTTCTACCGGGGGGGAAAATAGGAATACGCAGTTCTTTTTTTTTTTTTTTTTTAAAAAAAAAACTACAATGCCCAGATCCCGTGCCATGGGGAATACATTGGGAATTAAGACACCAAATAGACTATGGAATCGCCAAACTACACTGACTGTCTCGAATTAGTAGAGTGCAAAAAATATGATGAGTCTTCCAGATACACGATTCCTACCTTTAATCCCCACAGCCAAGGAACCCACAAATACGATACCCACTTCTAGTATCTCCACCTCTTCTTCTTTGCCACCGCATTCACCGGCGCTCTGTTCCTAGAGAAGTCACCTACCACCCCTTCAGCGCACTCCTGTTCAAGAACATGTGGAGTGCGCTGTGCAGGAGGGGAAGGCTGTATGTATGGGCTTTCGATCAGGTCGGTGTAGGGCCGAGACTATGTGTGAGGGAGCACTGATAGGGAATGGAGGGGATTATCCCTAGGTGATCTTCTGAGAACTGAAGTGAGCATATCTCTCTTCTTATGATATCGTACTTCTTTTTTTTCCCCCTCTTAGTATTTTCTATCCCCCCCGCAGGTCCCTCTGGTTAGGGCTGGATGGCTTGGCTCTTGAATGATATGTGAAGGGTTGAACAACTATGGGGTAGTTTTACATGATGACGATAATTTGGTATTTGAGTAATATAATTATTGGCGATAGTTTGGTTTGTGTATGGGTTGTAAGTGAGGATGGTGTTCCCAATGTTCTATCTTTGTACTGGATAGATAGTAATAGGTATACCATTAAGGACTTTGAATTAGTATTAGAAATATTTCCTAAAATAAGGAAAAAAGGTAGTAAGTACCCTTCCTGATAATGGTAGGTGCATTACTTATAGAGAGCAATCCCTACTAATTATTTAAAAGACATTAATTTACCATACCTGTAAGAAACAGCCTTTGAATAGAGGGGAAACTATCCTCCCCAGGTTAGAATCCGCGAAACCATTTTGTCCCCCCATATCCCTTGGGGCGCCCCTATCCCATTCGAAGACACCTCCTTATCCTTCTTCATGGCCAGAAGCTGCTTAGCCCAGAAATTCCGACACCCACCCGCCCCTGACCCATAGACCACCACTCTTCAGAAAGCTCCTCATCCCCGTATACGATCGGATCCTCCTCGACACCTTGCGCCCTGACCCAAGAGGACGTGCCCTCTGGCCGTGCACTACCAAGATCATTGTTCGACGCCTCCGCAACGGACTCACCAAGCCCACTAGCCATCCCCGCAGCAAGAAACTCCTCAAACCCACACCAGGAATGGTTGACATCTCCAACGCTTCGGACCATCGGATACTTTACGAGAAGGCACAGTGGGCGGGACTCGTTGCAGTCCTCGTCTGTTGCAACTCTGACGATCAGTGGGCCCTCCCCGCCGGAGGTGGTAGCGGCGACAAAAAGTAGGATAGATTCTAGATGCTCGATTGGGACTGGAGGGATGAAAGATGGGGAGCTGATGTGCGCCATTGCCCTTGCTAGAAAGACGGTGTTAACTTCGGGGCATGGTGTCTCGTGTTCGCTGTCTGGGGCTTTGCGCCCTGCTTCTGAATTTGCGGTGCCGATGGCTGGATTTGGTTGGTTGGGTTCTGTCGGCATGCTGGTGGTTGTGGAGTGGGAGGGGAAAATGACTTGTTCTGAGGCCGAGGCGGAGTGGGGAAGAACAGTGAGGGTATTATAGTAGATATGTTGAAAAAACCTTGCGCAATATTCAAGCGATCTAACCTTGCATTTATAGATATAGCAAACCTTTAGGTGGTAGAGGGTAAGGATGGTAAGGAAAAAAAAAATCCATGATATGATATGATGATAGCACACTGCTGAGCCGCGACGGAACCTGTTGAAACATGCTTCTGGCACTACTGCGGTAGCACTTCTACTATTTCACCCCTTGTTTTAGACCTTATGGCTGAGTCTAGATCTCTAGTCTAGACCTCCTACACTGTTGAATATACCTCCTTGCTTCCTGTTTCCTTTCTTTTCTCCTACTGTTTGCTCGTCCCCTATGTCTCGCTTCTGACAGTAGATAGTCCGGGCATCTTGCCCTTCCTTTGAGAAAGTCAAGCAGTTCATCATTCAAGCTCATTGTGGAATCTCCTATCAATATAAACCCAACAGAACCTTGGAACTCTCAGTCGAGTGATACTAGATGAATCCCTCTGAGCGCCCTCCCTCCATTTTCTCCTGGGTAAATTATGGTATGATATGGTGGTGGAAGAAAAACCAGCCCTTCCACCGCACAATTAAAATCAAATCAAATCAGAGACTTGCCACTCTTGCTGCTGAAATATTGGAAGGAAAACTTTTTGTTACTCTGCGGGTGCCCGGGTGTGGATACGGTATGGTCCGGCCTGCATAACTTGTAGCTAAGGCCCTGTTTAGCACGCAACAGAAAATAAAATAAAACCCTGTTTTTCCAGAAAACAAAGTATTCTTTAAAATAGATATACTGGTATTTGGAATAACCAAGGTTCTTTTTTCCCCTCAACTGAGTGGGCGGATAGTTTTATTGCTTTGCCCTAGGGTATACGATAAATGGGCAAAGTAGCATAAAAAGATGATCAAAGTTGGACCTTTATCTTCCTTTGTATATAGGTTGATCGATAAAGTATTTTTTTTTAACTGTACTACTAGTAATGCATAACCAGAACTTATTCCAATCTATACTAAATAATTCTTAAGAAAATACAAGTCAACCTCTACTTTATTCTAATACCCAGTTTTTAGTCTCTTACAAGCAATTGTATCATATTATGATATGTATACACTGTTATGCGGAACTAATAATTGTACCCTAATATGGACAGGTTCATAAGAAATACAGCGGGTAAATTCTAAGGTACGATATGAAAACACCATGGTATTTGTGTACTATATTGTACATGCCACTCTTATTTGTTCTCTTATTATACAACCACAAATTCTTGGAAGAACTGAAAATACTACGGTATTTGTGGCCTGCCAAACAGGGCCTGGTTTGCAATAGTATTATATCCCACAACGCAGGCATTACCAAAATGGTACGTTACGGGTTTCAGGAAACTTCAAGCATTTTTTTTTATCATATCATACCTCTCGTGGAGGATACACATACCTATAATCAGGGGTTTTTTTTCTTTTTTCTTCCGATGGAGCTGTTTAGAGTATCGTAAGCCGATCTGGCCTAAAGAGCTATCATGCTACGAGTACTTGCAGAGTTATTAGGAGTTCAGATGCGGGATTCGGTCCACCTTAAGGATTTGTATTCTCCCTGAAGGTGATAGCATGTCAAGTGTCAGGGGTGTGAAGGTGCCAGCGGGAGAGGTATCATACTCGGAATAGAGAGCACAGGCTTACGAAATGCTTTGAACTACTGCCCAAAACGGAACAGCCCTTAAAAACCTATACCGGTAATGGGTGGGGTGCTCGCTACGCCAAAATATCGCTACGTAGGGTAACTTTGTAGTTTTAGACGGACTTATATGTGACTGCGGTAGTAGGATTCGCTGGTCTTTCTAGCATCAAAACATCCCCACCACTATCATCCTGCCACTACCATCCCACCACTATCACCCCACCGCTATCACCCCACCGCTATCACCCTACCACCACCACTACCACCATCACATCTGGTCTATATCCACTAGATCAACCATAGATATCGAGATTTTGTAGCCTGTGATCAGCAGCAATGCAGATACCGCACAGCAGAATGGCTACACAGCTCACACTTTGGTCACAGAGTCCTGTTTCACTCAGCTCTGTTTTTTGGTCCTAAGCACCCACAATCACCCCTTCATCATTGTTGGAAAATATGCATTAAGGTGGATGGGAGTTAATGTTTACAACGGATATGTATTTACAACCCACCTTCCCTTATAATAACCCAGTTCCCATGGCTGGCCTCGTCATGTTAGACGATTGATATCCTTGTATGAACACCTCAACTAGAATCCATATACTGAGCCTTCATCCAAAAAGGTGAGTGGCTGGAGGTCGACGAGTCTGACATACCGGAAATCGATTTGGAATTCCACTGCGTTGACCACAGGTCTGTCCGGAAGTTGAAGCGGTACAATGATAAGTGGTTCCTTAGCCTCTGCGTTGAGGACTCCGGCCACATTCCTGTCCACACACAAAAAGCCCAAGTCCCGCATGTGGTTACCTACAATACTGTATTGGTGGAGTCAGAATTTCATCGCAACAGCTCAGATTGCCAAGTCAGGCCCTACCTTCTTACTGATGACAACATCAAGTTTGTTGGAGACCCGCCCATCACAATTCCCGTCTTCATATCAACCATTCCACAGTTTCTAGACTCCTGTCTGGATTGCATTCAGGGTAGGACATCCCGGCTAGACCGATCCTGTTCTCTGCCTGAGATTGACATGGGCAATTTGGCAAAGTATTTGGTTCTTGATTTACCTAGTCAGAAAGATAAGCTTCTGTCCAAGGTTACGAACGTCAATGCTATGGCAGAATATTTTGCGGAGCGGCAGCGGGTCCAAGAGAAAAGGGTAAAGAGGATTATGGAGAGACGAGAGAAATATCGAGAGAAATATCCAGACTGCACAACAATGCTGCCCGAGGATCGGTGGCACATACCACCTCTGTGAGTGAGATGTGATTAGGGACAAACTGTTTGAATTATTAGAAAGCTCTGGTTTGCTGGTGATGGCTGCTGGTATTTAATGAAATTTGAGGAGAGTTATTGCTGGTTTCTGTCTCTTTGTTTCATAATTTGCAGAAAATTGTTTTCAAGTTTTTTCGCCTTTGGGTTGCGGAGGAGCATAAGGACTCTAGATATTGGGAGTAACCTGGGAATATACTAAATTATCCGCATTTGTTTATAGTACATGTGCCTTTGCCTCCTGTTCCAGTTTGTATCAAGATCTGGAGGACTGAGGAGTAAGTATAAATTATGCGCATTTGACACTCCGCTGAGCAGGCAGATTTGTAGCAGGTCACACAGTTGCTCCATTGATCTCTCACTTGACCCAGTACCGCCCCCGCTCAGTAAAAGCCAACTTTGAAGCCCATGGAGCCAGACAAATAAAATAAATCAAGAACAATCCCAATAAAACGAGAATGAAGAAAAAACCCAGCCCCCCTCATCACAGGGTTCGAATAACTCGTGCTGGCCACGATACTACCCTCTCCTTCTAACACCGGTATTCATCAATTATGATCCGTACCCAAGCAAGGACAATAAGCCAATCGTCCATCCCAACCTTCCTCATGATCCACCCTCTCACCACAAACCTTAACCATGACAGTACAGCAACAACAACAGAATCACCACTCCTGTTATTGGGCCCTTACAAGTTTTGTCCTCGAGCGAATACTTTTGTGCACATCCAATACCTGCCCCCCGTACCTGCATTTATCACCACAGATATGATGTAGCTTTCCTCGAGTGGAGAGTACCCCCCACCCCTTCGCAAATGCCAACTTTTAAGTCTAGGGAGCTGGAGTGGACAAAAAAAATAAAGCACAATACCAATAAAACTTAAACAGCCAGGAAAACATTCGTCTTGCTTGTTATAGTGTTCGAATAACGCGATCCAACCTCCTTCCTGTTTCATTCAGTCCCAATTCCACCAATATGTCGACTAACTTCTCCCTTCCATCATTCTCTAAACCCCCGAACCCCATTTCCTTTTGAACCATTTCCTGAATGACATACTCTAATCCTTTGAAATATTTTTTCTTCCCACGTTCTACCCATGCTGACCCTTTTGCAACTGCCAGATCCGCTAAGGTTGCAACCGGCAAGCCACTCAGAAGGGTGTGCTCCTTCAATCTGTGTAGAGATCCCCCGCCTCCATTCTTGTCAAGGAAGTCGAGAGGTACCACAATGTCCCTGGATGATTTGTATTCCTAATAATATCCTATTGTGTAGGTGAACCGTGGGTCAAGCTTCGCTAGTGTTCATTACGGGGCGGGGCAGGTTTTGCCCTCGTGGGCCCCGCCGCTACACGGGCCCGGGGGGGTTATTGTGGCGGTCCTCCCTGCCCCGCTCCCGTCCGGGGCCCCGTATCTTCCCACCCAAATTTGCCGGGGGCCCGTCTGGGGCATGGGCGGGGCGGGGCCCCTGGCGGGTGACGGGGCAGGGCCAGTCTCCAAAAACGCCCCGCCCTGGAAGCCCCGTAGTGAGCTCTAAGCTTCGCAGCTTTTTCAAAGGCGGTTAAGGAATGTGCAATAATCGCGAAATCGGCATCCAAAGTCCGGATACTTGCCCCGTGGAATAGCAATGCAGTACCGCTGATAAGAACAAAGTTCTGCATATGGCTTCCTCCAACTAGACTCCACATGGCTTGTGAGGTTTCGATAACAGCCAATTTCCCCCCAACAAGGACTCTGCCTGGCTCTTCGGCCTCATGTCGGAAGGTGTTTCTACCGCTTGTCATGATCGGGGGATATTTGTTTAGTGGTAGTATGTATGACAATAATTGAATGGTAGAAGTGGTGGAGATTTCGGCACATAATGGAATGCCAGTGTGAGGAGAGGTGAGAACTTTCGCTTTAAACTGAAAGGTGGTGAAGAGGGGATTTTTGTTTACATCTGGCACTTATCTTACGTGAAATCGTTGTGAAATCCTCATTGACTCGCCATGCGT